TAGGAAGACTAGAAAAAAATCAAAATTCATGATTAACCATCATATGAACAAAAGAGAAATAAGGAGAAAAACAACCAAGTAACCAATCACCCAACTGATCAACAAAACTCTTAGCTAGTTTTTTAGAACTGGTCATTTAATGAAGCTCTGAAGTTCCTGAAATTTGGAGGAAGATGAAAATTATGACACGCAATGGAATTCTCACTGCCCAATGAGTAGTATCAGGAAGTCCTCACCTTTGTTAGAGGACCACTGGGCATTTTGATGACCACACCAGCTGTTTTGTAGGAGAGGCAGAAGACTAGGATGCATTTATATGTTTTTTATCTGGCATTTATTTAGAACCTATTATGTACTAGGCCCTGTCCTTGGCTCTGACATAAACTTGCCAAAGTTCCTGCTATCACAAAACTTACATTCTTGGAAGAAGGGTGGGAAGGACCCATGATGGACCCATGAACAAAATAAAAAATATAAAGACCATCTCAGGTGGTGTAAGTCCTATGAAGAGATACAAAGCAGGTTGATTAAAGAGGACATGACAGAGAAAGTGGAATCTGGATTGTGTATTCAGGTAAATGCTCTCTGAAGGAAGGACATTTCAGCTAAGACCTGGTTACAAGAAGTCAGCAGAGGAAAAATCTAGAAGAGATACCAGACAGAAAAAAAAGGCAGCACCAAGGTTCTAAATCAGCAACTACCTCATCAGTTTTAAGGCACGGGGAAAAAGCCAGTGGGGGGGACTGTGCAAGATGAGGCGTTGCCTCAGTGGTCGGAAACACAGACAAGGGTAAGATCTTGCAGGGTCTCACTGGTCACAGTAAAAGATTGGAGTGTTATTCCAAACAGGATAGAAAGTCTTTGGACCAGAAGGAAGGAAAAAATGATCAAACAGAAAAATATGAAGAAACAAGAATTCAAAAAAATGAGGAGAGTCTTAGGAACCTCCAGGACATCTTTAAACGTTCCAACATCTGAATTATAGGAGTACCAGAAGGGGAAGAGGAACAGTCACAAGTGGAAACCTTATTTGAACAAATAATAAAGGAGAACTTCCCCATTCTGGCAAAGGAAATAGACTTCCAGGAAATCCAGGAAGCTCAGAGAGTCCCAAAGAAGTTGGACCCAAGAAGGAACACACCAAGGCACATCATCATTACATTAGCCAAGATTAAAATGAAGGAGAGAATCCTAGAAGCAGCAAGAGCTAAGGGGACCGTCACCTAGAAAGGAGTTCCCATCAGACTGTCAGCGGATTTCTCAAAAGAGACCTTACAGGCAAGAAGGGGCTGGAAAGAGGTATTCCAAGTCATGAAATCCAAAGACCTACCACCAAGATTGCTCTATCCAGCAAAGTTTTCATTTAGAATGGAAGGACAGATAAAGTGCTTCTCAGATAAGACCAAATTCAAGGAGTTCATCATCACCAAGCCCTTATTATATGAAATGTTAAAGGGACTTACCTAAGAAAAAGAAGATAAAAAAAGATGAACAGTGAAAGGACAGCAAACTCACAGTTATTAAGAACCACACCTAAAACAAAAGCAAATTAAGAATACAGCTAGATCAGGAGTGAACCATAGAAATGAAGATCACATGGAGGGTTAGCAACAGGGGAGTGGGAGAAGGAGAATGGGGGAGAAGGTACAGAAAATAAGTAGCATAGACAGTAGATAGAAAATAGATAGGGGGAGGGTGAGAATAGTAGGGGAAATATAGAATCTAAAGAACTTGAGACACGTGTTCATGAAGTAAAGGGGGGGAATGGTGGGGGAGGGGTATGCAGGGTGGAGGGGAATGAAGGGAGGAAATAGAACAAATGTAATGGCATAATCAATAAAATAAAAAATATTTAAAAAAAAGAAATTGAAGAAGATACAAATAAAAAAAAAGAAAGTCTTTGGAAGGTTTTAAGTACAGGGAAATGGTATGATTTACAGTTTACCAGCCTGTTCCAGTTTCTGGGACAAGACTACATTATGTGTATGCTGGAGATGGGGAGAAGGGAGGTAGAAGATGATTTAGAAAATTGTAACCATGACCAGGATGAGAGATGGTGGGGCTTTGGATGGTTGCAGTAGTGGTGCACTTGGGAGAGGCGAATGGGTTCAGCATATATTTTGGAAGCAGAGCCAGAGGATTTTCTGATGTGTTGGTTGTGTGGAGAGAGGGCAAGGGAAGCTCCAAGGACTTCTGGATTGAGCAGTGAACTGAATGCGAACCACATGTCCATTTTTAGCACCGGCTCTCCGTAAAAGCCAAGCAAGGTATCATAATGGCTAATAGACTAGCAGCTGTGTGCCTTGCTAATGATGCAGGCAAAGGTGTTAGAACAGCACCTGGAATACCAGTCACACTCAGGAGAAAGTGGCTCTTGTTATCATTGCATGTGTATGATCTCATTTAACCCGAATGGAGCTCTGTGAGGTGGGTGTTTTTACCCACTCTTTAAAACACAAGAGCAAGGGGCTTGCCCAAGGTCACACTAAACAAGTGGCAGATGGAGGTTCAATTCAGATCTGCCGCTGCCAAACCCGACATCTTTCCTTTACCGCACTGGGTTTACCAGTTGCAGGACTCGCCCGTTTGCCAGTGCACACTAATAGTTCAGGGACAAAATACTGCAATGTTCCCCCCGCGCACATGTTTCCCCAAGGCCAACAAAAACATTCTGGTTTTGAACTAAAAGGAAAATGCACACCCAAAGAAGGACAAATTCAACATGAAAAACTTCCTACCTTGGGGCATCGGCAGCGATTCCTCAGCATTCTCTGTAGGCAGAGGGATGAGATTTCAGGGGCTGCTATGACGTCAAAGGATTCACCCCACACACACACTCCAGCCCCGCGAGTGGAAAAGAAAACGTTCAACAGTTGCCGAAGCTACACGAACAATTCACCAAGACTTTTCCTTAATGTGGTGATAGGAATAGTGCTTTTAACAGCAATTCCGCTGGAAAAAGAAAAGCGTCCGTGCAACAGAATAACTTAAGACCCTCACGACTGAAACGAAACTAAAGCCACTCCTGAGGAAGGACGTGGCCCGCAGTGTTCTCAGTTAGCAGTGGGGTCATCTTAAAGGCCCGGGAACGTGGAAATGACAAATAATGATGATCATCCAAAGGTGGCGAACTGACCCCTCCCAGTATTTACGCTGTGTTTTCTTTTATGATTCACCTATTACCTGCCTAGGCAGATCAGAGAGGGAGAAATGTCAGGCTGATAAAAACAAAAGCAGGAACTTACCCAAAGCAGGCTTTAAATACTCCGTCTCCGCTAACGTGTGGGGAAAGAAAAATCACTTCAGAAAAGGGCCATTTTTTCTAGAAATGCTTCCATTTAAAACACATTGTAAAATGAAAGAATATGACCCCCAGAAATAGAAATGTTGACTCTCCTTCTCCAGTTCAGATGTTAATTAATCATCGGCACCTAAATGTGCCTTACAGCACGTGTTCCGTTCAGCTGTGGCTGCACTGTGTCCCACCTGCAGACTCTGTAGCACCTCCAACCAAGAGGCAAACACTCATCACACACACACAGAACAGGTGGACCCTCGTGGCTTTACAGAATAAACTGCTCTGATAGCATTCTAAACCCAAAACCCAACAAAATAAAGCCAAATCAAAGGAAAAAAGAGAAAAACAAAAAATAAATGTAAACAAACCAACAGACACACGAACGATACCAACCCCTCCCAATATTTGAGCTGTTTGAATTGACTTTAAAAACATATTAATTACATTAGTGTCACACAGATAGAGTCTTTCTGGTTGGATGCAATTGGAATTTTTAGTGAGGGACCAAGTTCACTGCTCTAGACCCACGGAATCATTTCCATTATTTCCCAGTGGCACCATGTATGTTTTTTTTATCACCGCTAGTATGCTGAACATTAGTTGTGTGTTTGGTGAAAATTCAGTTCTATATCTAGACCAGAGGTTCTCAGTAGGAGCCAATATACCACCTCTCCCTGCCCCCCAACAAGGGACATTTGACAATGAAGACATTTTCGGTTGTTCTTCAGTGGGTGGAGGCCAAGGAAAGGCTGAACCACACACAGTGAACAGGACCGCCTCCACCGCAAAGGGTCACGTGGCCTCAACGTCAGCAGTGCTGAGGCTGAGAAACCCTGGCCCCTGATCATGATAATTACTAATTGCTCAAAGATTTGTAATTAGCAATACATGGCCTGGACTCACAATCCAGAGGACAAAGAAGAAGTCAGTGCTATTTCAATTTATAAATGCCTCGTTTCTTCACCTTCATCAGACTGCACAGTTTCAGTGGGAAAAACTTTATGTCTTAGTTCCCCACAGTGTCCTTAAGAAAGGTCAAGCACCCTCGGTGAGTGGTCAATGCCACTGTTGACTGACGTGTTTGTACCGGTCATTGTGAATATCTCCCACTGTTTTCTCTGTACGAAACCCATGTCGCCCTGGCTGGTGTAGCTCAGTGGATTGAGCACAGGCCTGCGAACCAGAGGATTGAGGTTTGATTCCCAGTCAGGGCATATTCCTGGGTTGCAAACCGGTTCCCTGCGGGCCAGTTCCCAGCGGGGGATGCACGAAAGGCAACCATACATTGATGTTTCTCTCCCTCTCTCCTTCCCTTCCCCTGTAAAGATAAATAAATAAATAAATAAATAAATAAATAAATGTCTTTAAAAAAAAAAAACCCATGTCAACATCCTGCAACTAGAAAATTCCTGAGCTCCAGCTGAAGCTCTCAAATGACCAAGGCTTCTTTTGGCTCAGAAAGGTAGTCAGAGGTGTTCTACAATGACATCATTGGTGCGAGCATCACTAATGAGATCTGTGGAGATGCCATCAGGGTAAGATGTGCAGCCCTGGAGGGAGAGGGGACCATTACTAGAGCAGACAACACTAGCACCTTCTCTAGTACTGCAGTTATGGAGGGACCAGCCGGCGTGAGGACACTGTCCCAGAAAACTCTCTTCTCCTGTCCAGTCTACATCCTTCAGCAGAAAGTTGCCTTCACCTCCACCAAACTGGGCTCCCACAGGGATGGTGAGAGCATGCCCACAGTTCAGCTGCCGGCATACCACGTCAGCATCCTTCATGTCCCATTGGTCATCACACACCCTGCCCCACTGGCCATGGTAGAAAATGTCCAGAACATTTGCTCGACCCATTCACTGGTTGCAATTGTGGCCAGCTTTTCAAAGACACAACAATATTGCCTGTTAGGAGAAGGAACATATTTTGCATCAAGCCATTTGTTTAACTGTGTAACCAGCACTTACGGTGCACACGCCGGGGATATTAGATAGCACTGTGCTCACAGAACACGCCTGGTCATTGTTGTCACCTAGTCTGGAGTCTAGTTTAAGGAAGCTGGAGGCGGCAGTCACATTTATCCAAAACTAAGATTACATTGACAATTATGCTAAGTGCTGAGGAGCAAGGGGGTGGTATTCAGAATAGTTTAGGGGTACCTAATGGGGGTGGGGGTTTCAGGATACCCTTTCTAAGAAGTGATGATGGACCTGAGTCTTTGAAGAAGTCAAGTAGACAGAGAGGGATGGGGGCAGAGTCTTCCTTAGAGAAAAAAAGGAGAGGTTTATGAGTGAGGTTTATAATGGGTAGCCTAATGAGAGAGGGGTTGGCATTGGGGACAGGGGACAAGGACAGGCAGGGCTTCCTTTGGGCTGGGAACAAGGAAGAAAGGACCAGTGATACAAGTTGGTCCTGAGTGTGTGTGTGCATATGTATGAGAGTGTATACATGTGTGAGTGCGTGTATGCATGTGCGTGTGTGGTGGGAGGTTGGCCCTCAGAGCTGTTAGCCTTGCAAGCTGCATAAGACGGTGTGATGCCTGCTGGAAGTCTGACTGGGGGTCAAGGAAACTGCAGGATGCCACGTGGGCCCAGCTGCAATCTGACACCATGGGCTCCCAATCTGACCATGGCAGCCCCAGGGTTGGGAGCTGGGGGCCTAGCGCACGGAGGGGTCTGTGGGCGGGCAGGAAGGACAGGGGGTGTGGTCAGTGTCAAACCAGGAAGCACAGCAGATGCAGGACCACAGCTGAACAGATTCTAACTCGATTGCAGGTGGTTCTTAGAGACTCTTTTTACTATTTAACTTGGATTTTGTCCATCAGATAACTTCTACACCAGGGAACAATCACATTTCCAGAAGTAGCCCTTCCTTTTCCGGTGGCCAACAAGTTGCCCTTTGTCCTCACAACACGTTGGCTGTGAATCACATTAGTACCGACCAAGCAGCAGTGGTCTGTGGGCCCCAAATCCCTTCTGATAGCAGGGAGTCTGGCACTGACCCACCAGTGTGTTCCTGGTGGCTGTCCCCAGAAGGGCTCACTGGCCCCATTGTCTTTACGACTCTTGTGTAATCAGCAGGAGGAGCCTATAAACACCCCTAGGGCATATCATATCACAAATCCACATGCCCCTAGAAGCTCAAGAACACTCTTCTGTGACTGGTAGAGTGAAATACACATCCCGGGGTGGGGGGAGGGGAGAGTGCGAGTGTGAACAAAAGCACTGGAGAAGGGGCACAGATAAAGAAGGAGCCAGACAGTCCTCAAGAAAGTGGCCCTGGTGACGGCTGATACTTGCCAGTCATGTCTGTAAGACTTACTGGGCCTCTTACATATCCTTAGGTTTAAGCCAATCAGGAGAAACCACCCCCAAACCCTGCTGTGCTTGTTTTGGGAGGATCTGGTAAGCAGACAGCAGTGGTTTGATAGTCTTGGTCACTGTCTTTCATTCACTTGTTCAAACTATCCAGGCAGTGCCCTCCCTCTGCTATGCCACCATCTGTGCTAGGACGTGGGTCCCTGAGGTTAGCACCCTGTGCCCTCAGTGTGGCAAGTATTGGCATTAAGTTTGCAAATGTCAAGGAAAGCGGGACATAGCAGAGGAAGAAAAGAACTGGATATTGTAACTGGATTATCAAAATACCCAACTCAGCATAATAACAGCCTACATTCTGGCTGAATTTGCCACTGGGACCTGAGTTCTCGGTGTGATGGGAGGTGGGATCAGAAGCGAGGCTGATCTCTGTACCCAGAGGTCTATTGTCTGCTGTTTCCAACACGTTATGGGGTGGTCAGCAAGGTGCAGTCTTCGAATCACTGGATTTTAGGGTGGCTTTTTTGCAGTTCCCAGAAATTATTAAAGTCACTTTTCCCATACTGAAGATTGTTTTTCCATCTCCCTCCCCACATCTATCCTAAACCCTTTGGACATCTGATTCCAAACAGATTAAAGCACAGCTCAATTCTACTTCCCAAGAGTAGCAATGTACTTCAGGTGAGGTCCTGGGGCAGAGCTTACTGAGGTTCATCCGGTTTGTTTCAGGGGTCACTATTGACCAAAGCCCATACTTTGTTACTCTCAGCAGTGCTGAAACCAGCATCATCTCTGCCACATTGGAACCACTATTATGAACTTGCATCTTGAGTTCTCTCAAAAATTTGAAAAATGTAATGCTTCAGAAAGCCCCATCCATTTTTCACTTGGTATAGTTCATAACTCTCCAGAGTACCTACTTGCATAGCATTGATATGCTGGGAAAAAGAACTCTTTTCCTGCTAGATATGCTCAAAATATTAAATCTATTGCTTGGAACCTATTACTGAAATATTGAAAGAGGAAAATACCTTGGTTCCTTGGGGAATGGATGCATCACGGTAAATATTATAATCTGAATCTGACCATCTATATTTTTCTCTCTCCTTGGTTTCAAATACACAGTTTAGAATTTATAGCATCTATAATAACAGTTAACACTGATTTAACGTTTTCTAGTAATCTAGTTTGTAGATTACTCTTCCAAGTAATCTGACATCATTTCATTAAACCTTCCCAACAATCTGGTGAATTATCTCCTTTATATGGGAGAGGAAATGGCAGTATGGAGAAATTTAAAACTTCCCCAAATGCACATGGTCAGAAATATGGAGTTAGGGCTTGAATTATGCAGACTTTTCCAGCCCTAAAGGCATATTCTGAGACTCATGCATCATCAGACATACAAACAAAAAACTAGGCTGCGGATTCCAAAGGATTCAAGAGATCATTCATATCCTTCTTAACACCTTAGTATGTGTTAACAAATACGTTTAAGTACGTAACTGTCATAAACATATCTATTCAATTACTTGCAGAACAGAAAAAGAATTTGAGTATAAAATTTACAATCAAACATTATTCTGTGGGTGTTGAGTTATCTTTTTCTTTATATTCAATAAACATTATATTCAATCTATTTATTATTTAAGAGTATTTCCAAATTTCTATTTATTAGTGTAAGTATGAAAGCTAAGTAACAAAGGACTTCAATATTTCTCTCCAAAGTCACAAAATAATGGAAAAAATAATTGAACTTATGTGGATAGTTTAAATTAGTGCAGTTCTAAATTAAATTAAAATTTATTAAGAGGACTAGAGGTACAGTACAGATTAAGACTAAGAATATCAAATTGATTTTTTTAAAAAAAGAAAGGTATAGATTTTCAGATTAGAGGTCTTCATGAATCAAGTCCAGGTAATTTTACATCATGTCAACTATTTCAGGCTAAGATATTCTATAATGGTACATTGTTCAATTCTAGTCAGCAACAAAAGAAAGAAATCTTGACAGCCATTCAACACCTTTAGTGCTAAATATCAATATACAGGCCGAAGAACATTTTCAAAACCCCTAATTATCTCACAGCCAATCATTCCTTCTTTATCCATCTCTCCAGAACCCTAAAAACAGAGTCTTGCTTAAAGAGCAATGACTGGGCTAGTGTCTTGTTCACAAACAGTGAATCTTACAGAAAATACTTGACCCAACTCCCCCACATTGATCACGATGACACATTCAGGGACCATCCCAGCAGCATCTCAGTTGGTGGGCGGAAAAGCTCTATCTGTCAGGATTGTGTGTTAAGCTTTCCCCCAGTGGCTGGTGGACTATGTGGAAATACCCACACTTGCCCTTTAGAGCTTGGAACCAGGCAGGAGCAAAACGGCCCAGGGGCATCCACTGCAGTACCTGCTTCATCTGAAGTGACCACAGGGAAGAGCAGGAGCCAGAGGAGGAGGGCTGGGCAGCTCATGTTGGGAAGGCTTCCAGCTACTGGAGAGTCTTCCTTTTCAGCTTTTTATCCTCTCCAGGCTCCCATGTGGGGCGGGCCCTGCAACCTGATGCTCTTTTCAGGCTTGGATTGCCTGGCACTCAAAGCAGGGGACAGCTCACTTGCTTCGGCATTTTGCGTACATTTGCTATGGGGGAGAGGTGATTCTACCTCCTAGAGCCATTCCATTGAAGAGTTGGAAGGTGCAATCAGAGGGCTGATGAGACAAGTCATGTGCTGGCCCCTGGCTGGGCGAGTGGGACCCTGTGGTTCCAGGAGCCCTGGATTTCACCAAAGGCATCATTTCCTTTGGCATGTGGCAGTGCCCAGAGGAAGAAGCTGCTGAAATCCACTCATCTCTCAATGTCCATGCCTGCTTCTCCTCCCTTCTAGAAGTTTTCCTCTATTCCCCAAATACGTTCTCTAATTCCCGCTTGGTGCCTCTCTTATAACCCCTAATACATTCTGCCTTAATTATAGTTCATAGTGCTTTTGTCATGTTTCTCCTATTAGCTTGTAAACTTGTTGAGGGGAGGACTTCTCTATATATCATTTCTGGTCCTACTTAAAATATTGCTTACTTAGTATGATGCCTTGTACTTAAATATTTGTGGAATTGAACTTGGAAGCATCATTTATACCTCATGTTCTTCAAATTATTGCTTCCTTAACAGGTATTTTATCTCTACTCAGAAAATTGGCTTATAGCCACAAATGATCCCATGACTTCAATGACTACTCCTCTGCTCTGAGGCTCTGCTCTGAGCCTTAGGATGCAACAGTCTTCTGACAGCCAACACCCCTTCTGGAGCATGTGTCTAACTCTACATGCTCGAACGAAATAGTGGAAAGGACAGGAAGTGTTCATAGACTCAGCGAGCCCTGGATTGTGCAAAGGTTTTGGAAGGAAGGATTTTTCCAAAGGAATAGTCAATCTATTCTCTCATTAAGACCTTTCTGCAAGCTGGGTGAATC